TCCATCTTTGCAGAGAAAGAAAACTTCCGAGTGCGTGAACCAGGTCACTTCCTCTTTCACAATCACATTTAAGCTTACTCCCCTGCAAAACCTGAGATGACTGTAGGCGGCACCACCACCGCCTTTTTATTGGAACAGACCCTGCTTCACCTGTCGTATCTCGACGTGGTTGAACAAGGAAAAGAGAAGAAAGTTTTAATTCCAAACCTCGCCCTGCGTGAGATACTTGACGATCTTATTGCTGTTGCCAATAATACCTTCGAGTACTGACGAGCAGTCTTTGTCCCATTCAATCTCCTGAAGAACCGTTGCGATCAAAATGCATACATCAACTATTCATGGGTTGTTAAGCATACTTCCAGCATTACACAACCAGCGGTAATGCAACGAAGACCTTGACCCTGCTTCGAGATTTCAATTATTATTTACAATCTAGTGAATTGGATTAAAACAGTTTGGAAGGCTCGGTCCACTTCAACCCTGTTTATAACCCAGTATAGCAGTCTAGCGATGTACTGACTACGGAACTTCTAACTACCGTACTGATGAATGACCAGCCACACAGTCATTATCATCACATCGAATGCATTGCTAGCGAAGTTAAAAGTACTGTAAAAGATAAGCTAGTATATTATCTTAACATCAGAAACGCTGTGAAAACAGGGTGTGAGTGTTAGAGGAGGTCATCACAGCGAAAGGAAGTGGCTTACCAACGTCGTTCTGCCGCTACTGAAAGGACGACGCTAGGTCACAAGGGCACACTTCACCTCCTGTAGTAGGCTTTTACAACGCTCTCAAACAAATACCAGTTCGGCGCTATCGCGCACCAACACGGCTGACCTTACAGAACGGGCCAAACAAACTTGAATTTGGCTCCGCTCAAGATCAGTCGTCGATTTCCCGTCTCTTGGTTGCCTCGGAAAAAAAAACTTTAGATTTAGGGGTGATCGCGACCTCCTGGGTGCTGCTCAAAAACTGCATCTGGCCTACTTCCTACCAATTTTTTCACGACCTCCGCGCCTAATTGTGATTTGTGGGAAACTGTGCACCAAAAAACACACTATGCACACGATGCACATTTCAGAATACTTTGTGCTCCTTAGACATTGTTGATATCCATCAATTTTTCGCTCTCTTTGGATACTGCAAATAAGTTAGAATTCTTCTAGGGAATCCATTTAGCCCACCATCCTTGAGCCCATTTCCAAAATTCGACCTCGCAACATTATGCACAACCTAGCCACAGCTACGCGGTCTCCAAAACACTGAAATAGAAAAAAAAAGTTTTCGCGAATGGCGTCAAAGATTTGATGCATACCCGCCCCTAAGGAGAAAGTCCTGCATAGATCATGTGTGACCCTCGCTCCAGCCATCCCAAATTAGACTCGATCGCTCCGGTTGATACCCAATTTCGTAAAAGGCAGACGAAGCCGATTATTCCAAGTAGGTTGAGCGCCAGGTTTTATTTGAGGCATTTTCGACAGTTGGTTGCTGGTTGCTCGTTTTAGTTCAGCATATCCGAATCAAACCAAGCGGAAATGTCATCGGGATATTAACATACCGCTCTCGCATCTGCCAAAATACCAAGTATAACGGCTCTTTCGTTTGCCTCATTGAGTCGCTGCGATATACTGCTCACTGCAAACATTCAGAAGTAACCGTGACCTGAAAAGAACCCCTCGAAAACAAATGAAGAAAATTCTTTTTCGTACCGCGTACAGCGCACAAATGTCACCACCACTGAAACCCTCCACAAACGCTACAATTACCGACCTTTTGACGAGACTCCCGTGTCAAATAGGACTTGCGCTTAGTTGAATAGCCTATGCTGCTACGCTTACTAGCAACGTGTTGCAACTAAATTTCAAGCACTCTCGCACACCTATTTGCTAGGCCTGCCTGAACTGCCGATTCTTCAAATATAGCCGTAATTAGCCTTAAATACCTACATTTCTCAGGAAATAAAAGACGAAATATGACTCGGAAAAACCAGGGTAGTTCTTCAAAATCCCTTCAAGATCCACAAAATAACACATCCTTGGAAGAGAAAAGAGATAATTCTCGTCCATTATAGAAGCATACCAGAACTGCAATAGGCAGTTTTTGTTAAAATATTGCGAAGATAAAATTATCTATATTTATTCATGTTGTCAAAAAATGTTCAAATTAGGCAAAGTAACAAAAGCAAATTAAGAGTCTAATGTACCCGATGATCGAAGATTATGCCCAATGTACAGCCATCTAACCTACATAACGTCAACGTGAGGATCACAATAACTGAAAAGATTACAGTAAACTTCAACATGTACCTATTGGAGAAAAAAATGGTGTTAACATTCAAGAAAAATATTACATCATTTACTACGCCTCCTTTTCTTACTCTTTTTGTGGTCGTGATGCCGATGTTTACGATGAGATCGGTGTGAATCACTGTAGCTACCCGAGGAGTCACTAGAACTTCTTTGTCGATGATGACTGGTACTTTTGTGTTCCACATCAGAAGGACGATTCCTCCTTGTCCTTCGATCTGCGCTTACGCCGCTTCAGTTCCGCGTCACTATCCTCTACTGAATCACTTTTAGACTTGTGAGATCGTCGAGGTCTATGTCGATGCTTCTTCAAGCTGGCATGGGACCGATCACTGGATTCTGACGAATTCCTCCTTGTTTGATGTCGCTTAGGACTGCACTTCAGTTCCCTTGAAAACTCAGCACTTGAGCACCTCTCGGTTCGGATTTTCGTTACTCCGAGATCTGCCCTGTTTGAGATCTACAGAAGAGCACTGTTGCGCTTCTTTCTGGTCTTGCGCATGCCGAATCTTCTCCTTCAGCCGTAAACGTAAAAGTTACCGATGAGTATACCAAGAGAGTGTTCGAAGTGATAAGCAGACGGGGTGATCAGTCACCAACCTTTTCTCTCATTCGAATCTCTCTCTGGTGCAGCAACATTGTACGGAGATGCTGTTCTTTATCCGAAATAGGAATATCCAGCAGTTCAGCCGCCCGCCGTTCGGCCCTCAAGCGAGCTTCCTGCACCTCTATGCGACGATCTTCCTTCCGCTGAAACAACACTCATTCAAAAACTGTTTTTTGCTTATAACACCACATTGTTTGCCATTCTTCGAAAAGATACTTCGATTGCTAAAGTATTATGCTCAGCAGAATCCTGAAAACTGGGGCATGTTGACTAGGAATGCACAGGACCCACCACTTCCAAAGCAGACCCCAAGAGTGAAGCAAAGTAGTCAGGCACGCCAAGAAGAAGCAAGTGAGACCTAGTTGGTCCCGAATGAAGCTCTTTTGATCGCCGGAGAGAAACAATGACCAATTGCGGTGATAGAAAACCAACTCATTCACAAAACGGGTTCGAAAAACTTAGAAGTGTGCGACAGTGGGAGTTAGCTTCTAGACCAGAATCAAAAGAATTACTACAGATACCAGGGCAGGATACTTTGGTTGATTCATAAACTCCATTTATCCCACTAGTACGTCTGCTCTACATCTTTTTTGAATCCCATGGTCCTAACCATTTTGTCCTGGGGTTGTTCATTAAGAACACGAAAAAAAAACTAATTCAACTGGGAGTCTACCTGAATGTGCTCAAACATAAGCTCAAGAATCGTTTTCGATTCTGCAGCTCTGTCTTCAAGCGCCCGGCGTAATGCCTCAGCAGCCTCTTTCGCGAGACGTTCCTCTTCCTCTCGTTTAAGCCTTTCGGCTTCTTTTCTGAGCCTTTCAGCTTCACACTGCAAAGGAAATAATCTGTCTGTGGAATAATCAATACAGTGCAGCCTAGTCATCAGCTGTACTACCTTCTCTTTCCTTTTCCTTTCACGCTCCTCCCTTCTCATTTCTTTTTCTTCTAATATACGTCTGGCTTCTGCTTCTTTCTCAGCTCTGAAAATATAAGGTTACAAAAAAAAAAGAAAAATCGCAACGGCTTCAGTCTCACATTCGACGCTTTTCCTCCTCAACGATACGCCGTTTTTCGGCATTAATTCTTTCCCGTTCAGCTTCGCGTCGCTTGATGTTCGCATCACTTAAATGCCTTGTACGATCGAAGTCCACCTGAGATTACACGCTCGCAATCATCCACCATCGCCGTCCATGAAAGAAAACTTTCACCGAGGTAGTACACATGGCAAAACTTTTTTCAACTACGGAATTGATAAAAATTTGTAGTGTAATTTATGAAAAATAACGAAAATATCTTACTATAAATGGAGTACCGTCAACAAACTTTTTATTGCTACACTGATGCATCAAAGCTCTAGCCTACTGGTTATATATCACTAATAACGTATATCTAGACCGACCTTCACGTTGGCATGAAACACCTTTCCATCAATTCTTTTGGTCCACTTCATGTTACGTAAAGAATCCATGGCGTCAGAGAAACCGCTGTATTCGATGTATTGGACGTAGGCTTCAAAAAACAGCTCCTGAAGAATAAAGCTTCCATTAGCGAGATTCAGTAAGCCACGAAAATTCGATAATTTCTTTATGGTTAACGAGTATATAGTCCTTCTAACGAAATAAAGTATAAGAAGAGTTATGAGTTTTGAAACATCCAGATAAACAAAGAAAATCGGGCTTACTCCGTGCAAAAAAGTGGCGTGCAACCGCTCTCGTTAATATGTTAATATCGCTGAACCACTACAAAGACTGAACTAGTTTTAGTGACTGTCCCCTTATCGCATGTGAAACTTCGTTTCAGAATTACTTGGATGCCTCTATGGGAAATGTCGGAGGGGAGATCGAGGATACGTTTGCTATCTACGCTCACGCTGTGTTCAGACAACCCATAGATCAGTGCAAATATGCTACGCAGAGCAAGAGAAAAAAGTGCATTGCCTAAACTATGCCCACGCCGAAGGTATGGAATCAGCTCACTTACAACCATTAAACAAGCTTCAGGTATACGCACAAAATTCGATAGGTTTCTCAGTCTTTCAGAGAAGAAAACCTTCAATCCCATGCTATTCATTATTATGTAGGAAAACTTAATCAGAGATACATGACACTACGACAAAACAATACAGAAATAAATTGAGCTAACCGGTCCAAATGCAAATCCCTTGGTCTTGAAGCCGCTTATCTCAGGATTCATTTCCTTCCTTAGTGTATCACAAACTGGAATGTCTACCCTTCGTACTTTGCCGAAGGATTCCATTGCAGTTCTCAAAATCTCTTCACTTGGAACGTCGGAGCCTTTCTCCTGAATGGATTAAATTCGAGACAGCACTAGGGTAGAGTAAGGCAGTTTTGGAAAGAGTCAAAAGAGCATACCGAGAACCATTTTATGGGCACCTTAGCAAGGTAGATGGTATCAGGACGCTCTCCAGGTTTGTTCTCGCTGAGCTTGTTCTTCATGAAAAACAGATCCCAATCGTGGCGACTGAAAATTTGAACGCTAAGTAGAATTTTGAAGAACTTGGAAACACGCGAAACATGAGAAACTGGTCACCACAGCACAACGAAACCTCATTTATGAAGGGACTCCAGATGGGAAATATAGGGCCCACACCATTTAACAAAAAAGGACAGGGACCAGTGTAAATGCACAGCTGCCCCTAAAAATAAACTCCTCCCGTAATATTAACCCAACGGCAGTAATGGTTATCCTATAGTAGTCATCCAAAAAGTTTTCACGGGTACAGTCGGTAGAAGTTGATCAAAATGTAAAGTGCACGAAAAAGATATCTTGTGTGAATTTTACGCGATTTAATTGACGAGCAAGTTTGACAACAGTCAGCGGCACCACAGGAATTCTGCAGGAGAGAAGGAATTGTTTCCGATACGATATCGAAATCTCCAATCGCATTCTTCAAAAGTAAGATAACTGAGATGTGGATGTAGGATTTGAAGATCTAGACGAGGCCGGTCTCATTATAGATGCCGATGACTGCAGAGCAAGACGGCTCAACAGGCACTACCGAGTGTTGCAGTTGCACAGTTCCCTACTAGATTCACACCGACTATTCAGTGAGTGGAATTCAATGGGAAGAAATTCTGTTTTGTTTAGTTGTCAATGAGACTGGAGTGGCGTAATAGGAAGAAATGCCACTGCCGCGCACATGGCCTGAAAATCTGATCCCTCACTAAGACCTCGGTCAGACTCGGCGATTGCGTCGCTGTACACCAGCGACTCCGTCGCTGGGCGACGGAGTAGCCGGCGACGGAATCAGCAATGGCAGCAACGGGCGATTACTCAGCACACGATCGATATCGGTTGGCAGGGGGAGATTAATCATCCTCACCCATCGTTCATGTTGTTCTGCTCGGTTTTTTTTTTCAAATTCTTAATCAGGATAGTGGTCCTCCCTGTCATTGTAATAACTTCAAAGGTATCTTGAAGTAACTAGCTCGAAACTTGATTGGTTCTTTGATCGAGTGGGAAAATCCATGATAGTTGTATTTCACAACTTCTTTTGGTGGGTCATTTCATCACGTCAATTATTACAGGACCACTTTCCTCGCATTCAAGTGCATCCCACGCAGTCTTTTCCTGATTATATCCTATCGTCGCCCAGCGACTCCGTCGCTGGTGTACAGCGACGCAATCGCCGAGTCTGACCGAGGTCTAAAGTCGCGCACACCATTTACCGATTGGGATTGGATATTAGCCCACGTAAGTGAAAACACTCAAAAAATATGCCAACGTATTGATCTGAACCAATCTCATTTTAAAACAGTAAAAAAAAGTTTAAAAAATGCAACAGAAGTATACCTAGGAAAGTCGGATTTAGCTTCTGCTGCGCGAACACGTACAGGATCGCTGAATCCACTGACTTTCACAGTCATTGATTCCAGGACTTTTATCGCCTTAAAGCAATACAATCACATTCCTGCGACGGAATAGTATCTTCAAATATGTAAAATGCCTCACAGTGTCAGCGCTCAGCGCACAAATTTACAGACAAAATTCCATCAATGCACAGCAAAGCGAAGAAGCAATTGTGAGACGATGTATGAACCAAATACTCATCCCTCCGCCATAGAAGACATCTACCTACCCATCCCAAAACTCCCACCAATGCTCAGAAGTGCTCAATCCCTGGCTCGCCATATTTGGGTGCTAACTTAGTTGGGGGGGGGGGCACGCGGCGGCGCGGCAGTCTGCTCGCCTGGCATGTTCGGAAATCCGTGGGCCAGGGGGAGTAGGCAGTCTAGGGGGGGGGGGTGGGGGCAGTCACTTGACATGCGTGAAAAGCTGGAATGTTCGAGTTTACACTGTCTCGCTCGAGAGAGCCCAGGTGAGCAGACTGCCGCGCCGCCGCGTGCCCCCCCCAACTAAGTTAGCACCCATATTTGGCCTTTCATTGCCTTTACTAGTTTTCCTGAACATTTGCAATTGGAAAGTGTTTGTTGTAGTTTTAGGTCTCGACAGATCGAAGCCCTGTCTGATTATTAACAAGAACTAACTTGTTTCATTATTTTTCTTGTGGTTAAATCCGCTTCAAGGGTAACTCCTTCAAGAGAACTTTCTGTCACACGTATTGAAACAAACTGAAACATACTTCAATGGAGGCACAAGAAGAAGAGATAAAAACAAACTACCTGGATCGGAGCAACGCCTTTCTTGAGACGTTCCATGAGATCCCAATTCGAAATTGACTGACCCGGTATTGTAAACTGAAGTTTACACACATGATACTAAGGCAAACTAAATGCAATTATAAACCAACAAACCTTTGGCAGCTTGATGGTGATTTCTATTCGTGACTGAGGACTAAGATACAGATCCAACTTTGGGCAGAAGTTCACCGCTTCTGCCCCGATAGACAGATCTATCACCATTTTTTTTGCACAGAGCCACTTTTGGCACCACTAAGAACAAAAGAAGGAACTGATAGACTTTCTTTTAATGCATGGAACACTGTCGGAAGCAACAGCGAGCGACACCGCAGGAAATCGCCGCATGCGGCGCCGCGTTTCTGATCGGAGCAAGGTTTAGGATTGGAGCGCACTCCTCACTGCACAGCTCAGTTGGATGTCAGCATCGAAAAAAGCTTATTTTTTGAATCACGTTACATTTCTGAACTCCAACAACAGTGACAAATACAAAGTAGGAAGCAATTGAAGTAGCGAAGAAATGCTGTCATACTAGTCGGATTCGGGGATGAACACGAATATTTCAAAGGAGATTTGCGGTGGGCAAAGTATGGTCTACCAACGGATCACTGTTAAAAAAATGAAGGGTATGATCTAGTAAGGGGAGGGTATGTTGTGTGACAGTTCATATCGCCTGCACTAATCCAATTACTGCCATGACAAGAAAGCTCCGGGGTGAGCACAGGGGTCTCCTTCCGAAAAAAATGAAATTTGTGTAGGCGGTAGCAACTATCGCACCACTTACCCCCTCTCTGTATTAGACCCGGAAAGACTCGAAAGATGATCAAACGAATAATTGGGACAAATCAAGAAATCAGTTTGTGTCTCATTTGACCGCTAAGTACCTAGAAATCATTGTCATCGGTAATCAACTAGGAATGAAATTACGACAGCTGGCTTTGATTTGATTTCCGTCTGCAAGGGCTTAGCCCTGGGGCCGTAAGGTATGCTTCCCCGAACAGGAGAGGGACCCCTCCCTGGTAAGGTATGCTCTCCCGAAAACTCTCGGGAAAGGCCACGCCCACCGGTTCTCGGGGATATCTCCCCGATTGACATGCAATCGGGAGATATCCCCGTGATTGACATGCAGTTGGGATACATCGGGAGATATCCCCGTCTTGACCTTGCAGTCCGGGAGACGTCCCGAGAGCAGGTGGCATTGCCTTTCTTCGAGAGTTTTCGGGGAGAGCATACCTTACCTTACTTACCATTGGAAGGGTCCCTCTCCTGTTCGGGGAAGCATACATTACGGTCTCTGAGTTCAAAATGCAGAAGACTAGGAGATGTTAGCTGGAGGCATTCAGCGACTCGTCCCATTAGTTGCATAATAGAGGTAGAAAACCCAACCGCACTAAACCTCGGACACTTGGAAGCAAAGTTATGAGGATCACGCTGAAAGTGGCGGGTAGCACCTAGAGAAGCGCGCTATGTTCAGTCAATGAACTCAGCATGCTAAACGGAAGAAAGAAATGAGCGTTTTTGGCGATGAATACTTGAGCTCCCGGCAGCCGCCGTAAAGCGGAGGACTGAAAATGATGCCACGCTTCGCCCCCCACTTTAAAAAACGCAAACAAAAGCAAACAATCCAGGAACGAATTCGCGGGTAAGGACCACCTATAATGACGTTGCAGGTGAGAAGTTGGTCAATGGAGAAAGAAAAAGTAGAAAAAACGTCGGGCAGGGGCTTAGACAGGGACTCCCCCGGCCGTTTAGGGAGATGTGTGTTGGACGAGTTGTCCGAACCTGCCCGTAGTACATGCGCTCCAGTTGACTGCTGGCAAATAGCCATGCATGCTTGCAAATACATAACTATTTGCCAGCAATCGAAATTGAAGCGCTTCAATTGGGTTCTTATGGAATCGACCTCATACAGCGCGGCGGTCCCGCAACGACCGCTAGTCGAGCAAGCGCTCTGCACAGCGAATGTTGGGCGATCCGCCTCTTTATGGGTGATCCGCCCCCTCCAAGAGGACTTCGACCCCTTCCAGCGCATTTTAGAGGTAGGTTTTGAAATTAAAGACATTTCCTATAAACTTTAGTTGGGCTGGGGCATGTTTTGACCGCCTAATGACCAAGTAGTTGAAACCCTGCCTGGACTGTTGCTTTAAACTTGCACAGAAAAGCGCCGCTCGCAATTTCAGTTTAGAAAAATATTTGACATTGAAGTACTTTAAGGAGGAATTTCACGATTAGAATGAAGGTCGAAGAAAGGGAAACTGACCTAGTTGAGGGACCCACGGACCTCCTGAGGGTGCGAACTGACGCGCAATTCGCATGGAAAAATTTGACCTCGGCGACCTATCATGCCTCAAAGCTGGCGGGTCCGGCGATCTCCGCCCACCGATCATCTGATCACTCGCCGTAGTTCAATACGTGGCGAGTGATTAGATAGCTGAGAGAGCGTAGTGTTGAAGAGGGCACAGCGATGAGAGTCGCATCAATGCTCGAATCAACGGGCAAGGAAGGGGTCCATTTCTCGGGTTCTGGGCCGTTTCTCATGGTTCTTCCTTCTTTCGTGTACCACTCACCATCCCTAGGTTAATTTGAAATGGGTTGCTTTTTCATCGTGAATTCGTCCTTTAAGGCAGCGGTTACGCTAGGTTTAAATGTGGTTTGGAGGGGACGAGGGGGTCCTCAATAGTACATCAGTGGCGAAAAAAGCAAAGAAATCCGTCAAAAATAAGCAAAATAGTGCCCCTTTGATTGCCCTTTCATTTTCGATCATGGATGAGCGACGGTAAAGACTGAGGTTGTTCGGACGTGTTAACCCCGATAGCCGCCATCATGCCAACAAGCATAGTGTTTCGATTGATAAGGCATAACATGGGCAAGATTGGAAGATACAGCCGCTAGAAGGGAAAAGATCATCCAAAATGAAAAGCCAACAGCAATCAGTCCATCCAGATCATCAACAAAACCAGTGGGCGGGGCGGCGCATGGGGCGGAAGGGCGCAATGGTCCTGCTCAGCAACCACAGCACTGTTCGCAGTGGAAGCGCCACACATCGCTTCCTTGGCGGCCTGCTAATTGCTCTGTGGGGAGCAGGTTCTCCGCAGATGTGAAAATTCCTTTCCGTACCTACTTCCTTTAAGCACAGGCCAGCGCACGCTTTTACTTTCGACACTAATGGTGTAGAACGATGAGCTAGGTCTAGAAAAGAAATAAGAAGTGCCGCTAGAAAGGGAACTTCTTAGAGCTTCAGCAACAGCTTCTTAGTGGGCGTGGTTGCGAACTGGCCGTAATCCCCTTGGCCGGCTCGCAACCACGCCCACTTCGGAGCCCTTTGGCTCCCTTCCTAACCTCTCCAAGGTGAGCTTTTTGCCAGTTACACTTCTTATTTTCTTGATTAGGGCTAGCGAATTGCTCCACACCGTCAGTGTCGAAGGTAAAAACTCGGCTGGGACTGTTGCTTTAAGTTGTCTAGATACTTGCGTTATGTAATGTGGTCAAAGCAAGTGTTTGTTGGTATGATGTCGGCTTTAGGGGTGAACACCTCCAGTTGACCCCATTCTTGGTTGCTGGCTCGTCTATGAGCGAAAATCAACGGGCAACAAGGGATCCCATGTCGTCCGTTCTTGACTAATTGTCTGATGCCTTGCCACTGGAGTCTTATTTAGCACTTCCTCCCATCAAGAGCCTACCCAGAATCCATCGTAATCACGGCTTTTGAGACTATTTCGAAGGAGTGAGTGCATTTAATCACGATAGCGCTTTCACCTACCCTTCTTAAAGCGAGAGATTACGATAAAGTGCGTATGCAGCGTGGAAGTACATGCACCATTGGAAGCAGTAGTCAGGGGCCCAAGGAAACGAAATGTTGCGTTTTTGTGGTCAAAGGTGCGCTAGTTGCAGCGTACAAGGCTTGCCATTCCTTTCTGAGCCCCGCCACGGTCTGTGCTCCGCCCCCCAGCAGCAGCGCCCTTCGATTGCCAATGTGACGAGATATTCCACTTCCAGAGTGTATCCTATAACTTTTCATGGGATGCGTGATCAATCAAAGCATGATGCTTGCTGAAATGATAGAGGCTATCAGCATAACATGTGCAAACGACCTCCTAATTGGTTGCTAGCTCGTCCATTATCGGAGGTCAACGGGCAAAGAAAGGGGTCCCATTTTGCGCCTTCTTGACGGATTTCTTTGCTTTTTTCGCCACTGGGGCATTATTCAGCATCTCCACTTCCACTATGAACCTGTCAATCTTATCGTAATCCCTCGCTTTAAGTTTATGGAATCATATACAAGAACTTGTCTCTTGAACTGTTAATGAGAATCGAAGGCGTGCTGCATGCGAGACGTGAAATCAGCTTCTTTCCTAAAACACGAATTTTACAGAAAAATGTGATTCCTATGCAAATTTAGCCAAAGGGTGCCTTCGGCATGATATACTAATTTAAGCTGATGCAAGAGCAGAACAGGTGCATGATCACAAATGGATATCGAAGGCTGGGCGCACTTCTAACAGGACAAGAAGGGTTGAGCACAGTCAAGCAGAAGAGGAAGAAGAAGTTTTAAGGGCAGAGGATCGCGTAATACACTGGTGGGCAAAACATGAGAATGAGGTGAATAAAATAGCATAACTTTTTGACAACTGAACGGAAATGGATGAAACTAGGAGGACTTGATGTAAAGGTCCTACACTCAGGCACGAACAAACTGGGCTCATATACAGTAGTGGCCAGAAATTTATGAACAAACGGTTTTTTCATGATTTCTCTTTTGAAAGTCACTGGAACGTCTCCAAATTTGCAACAATTATTAACTACGTGTTTTATGATCCACACAGAAAATTTCAACCTTCAGCTCAAATTTGGGTTTAGAAAATTTTAGATTTTTCGAAATTAATGAAGGCAGGTGAAAGATCACTTGATCCGTTTATTTGATTTAAATAATGTATAACCAACAGAACAGTCAAGTAAACAGTCACTAACATTAAGCAAGTCTAGCACATTGCCCAGAACTCTCTAAAGTATTGGATACATAAACTGGATTTGAATGCGGGGTCAACTAATGAACTCACTCTTTAGTGGGGTCTCTCTCTGTAGTCCCGTCTTTTCGTGGCTCTTTCATTGACATACGAATTTGTAGGTCCTCCCCTAGTGGTTCTGTAATGTTTGGCTCAAGAGTCTGGCCTGGCTGGTCTTTTAAAAGCACCCCATGCTGTCGAAACCACTCCTGCATGTGAGAG